ATTGGACTGTAGGTTTGCTAGATTCCTTTCAAACAGCCAGAAAATAATATTATTACAGAAAGCACATTGCAGAGCTGATTGCATTTTACCAGTCTTAAAGGCACTTACTGGGAAATAGGTTATTTGTGGGACTATATTATTTTACTTTCTTGACTCAGGAGACAGGATGAAAGAGTATCAGCAGTCTGCTCTACTCGTTTAATATTTAACTACTACGCTTCCATGAAGGAATTTGAGTCATAGCTTTTCAATTTGGGAACTGAGTGTCAAAGCCCTTAATCTAAGGAGTCTGCAGTTTTAGCTTTCTTCCTACATCAAACTCCAGGAAAACAATTCAGGCCAGATTGAGGATGCATATGAATTTTAGTCTAGTCAGAGACGCTGGTACTCAAAGTCTTGCACAAGCATACCTACGGGGTCATTAAAGTCACCAAAAAGTTTTACATTTGCCATTAAATTATTATTTTCCCCTACTGTGTCTTGGACTATTATACAGAATTGTACTCCAAATTAATGGTAAGCTGCTTACAGAAGTTTATAATATTCTTGTTCTTTTTTCCTCTTTAGAAAGCAAATAATGTTGTCTTCATTTTGCATGGTCTTAAAGAACATTGCAATGTACAACAATTCAATTTCTTTTTCAAAGACAATTTCTAGATTAAAAAGTAATTGTACATAATGCATAAGTAGACTTTAGGGCAGGGATCCGTATTCCAATCTCTCCTCTCCTAATGTTTAAATCACGTAGCTAGAGACATGCAAATTATCTCTGAACTGTGAGTATCTTCATGAAGATCTCCTGGGAAATAAATGCTGATTGTACACTTTTGAAGAACAAAAGTCTTCAAAGTTCACAGCACTTTTTCCATCACTGGCTCAGACATGCAAATAATGCATTTTCAGAAAATGCGAAGGTATGTGACACTATTTGAATATGATCAGCGTTTAAAATTTGTGACCAGGATTGCTAATGAATTTCAGAAACTCCCTTGTATTATATGGTGTCATATATTGGAGTCTTTCCATTTTTTACTTAAAATACAAATAAGCATTTGCATAAAATCACGTTTAAAATCCTCATTCCAATCATCAGTCGCTGGATGTCCTTAGGCATGTGATGACCCCCATCAGTGACACTGCTGACTGAAGTTCTCCTGTCCCTTGAGATTTATCAGTCTTTCCCCAATGCTCTTACCAATGTGCACACACAGATACACTACTGCAGTATCAAAATGTTAAAAAACGTATTCCTTTGTAGCAATAACTATCTATTGACCTTAAGAGAAGCACGTGGTTTTGAAAACAAACTCATCAAAAGGTAGAGTGATGATGAAAAGAATCACAAGTCCTCTCCTGAAGAGGATTGTATGTCAAGTCAGCCTGGCTGGCTCAATCTCCTCATCCCAGGAGCTCAAAGCTTTGCAATATTGCTCACTGGAATATTACAAAGAGTAGTGAACCCAGGTCTCACAGTCACTTATTTAGGGTGATATCTGAAATTGCAGACTCAGGACTCAAATTAGAAGCTCTTGCTGTGACAGCCGGTGGTACACCCATGGGCCGGTGTGATCAAAATGCTAAAGAGCAGACAAAATTCCTAACCAAATTGAGTTCTGACTCACCCACATTTTGGGAAGGTGGAGTCGGTGTAATGGAGCCAGGCATATTTAATGGATGCAAACCAAAAAGATGAAAGAGACACCACGGATCGCGGTTTTCATCCAACGCCAGGATAAGTCCAGGCAATAAACATAAACAGTAAACAAAACAATTTCACTAGTGGGAACCCAGCCATATGCAAAAAAAAAAATAATAATGCAGGAATTACTTAGTAAATGTGCAAGAATGTCTCAGATCCTCCGGGCAGTCTGAGAAAGCTATAAAAGCTCTTGCTCTTCAGGGCCTTCCTGCCTCTTTCCTTGCCCACAGCAGACACCACAATTCTGGTTTCACCTTTACAAAATTTGACATTGAACTAAATTTTCACTGACGGAAGTAGCAAATTCTTAGTGTCCTGCAAAAACAGCTCATGTTATTCTTTTTTTCTATGGAACCAACTTGTTCCAGCTATTCAGCAATAGATATTAACAGATGAAAGTTTCTAAATAGAGAAAGAGAAGACACAGACAGCTCTTTTGTTGAGAGCACGCGTACTCTACCATGCACTGGTTTTTATGCCGCTGTTCTGTTGTCTAGTACTATGTGTTACTGCACACATGCTGCCTGGTTACGTAGACACCCATCTAACACATTATGACATTTCCAAAGCAAACACAGTGACAACTTGAAAGGCAGCACCTGAGCTTGTCTAGTCTAGAAAATTTTCTCTGTAACGTGATAATCCAGCTCACATTCTGCAGCAGTGAATACAACGCTTTGTGATTAACTACAAAACCAAACAAAGAAACCTTTTACTTTGGGACTGCACTATACTTGCAGCTACAATAAGTTTTAACCCAAAGAAGGCAGTTTGGGACTGGAATGAAGGGGGAAAATTATGCTTGAGGATTGTTTTCACTTTTCATTTTGAAGAAGCGAGCTGCATACCAGACCTTTCTGCTACAATTTCTGAATGTCTGATGGAATGATCCCAACTTTGGAAAAAGTGTACAGGTTCAGGGGTTACCTCTGCGGAGAGGTTTTGTGCAGTCAGTCAGAAGAAACCTTAACAGAGAATTGCAGAAGGGGATTGCAAGAGTAGGAAAACGTTCTTTGTCATGAGAAATGTCATTACCTGTCCACCTGAATACACTGAAGATTCCTTCACTGTAGTGCCTCAGCCATAACTCTTTCCAGCTGTGTCAATACTATTGTATCTTTTTTTTTATTTGTTCTTTTGTATTTTTGTATTGTATCTGCAATTGTAACTTCTCTGCTGTGTTAGATATGCAGGTTGACGTCCATAATAGAAAGTTATTTCGCAACAACTGCAAAGGAATGATGACTTCTTTGGAATGTATCCCCTTTGATCAAGCAATAGCTTCAGCTGACATGGCAAAAAATGTATTACACATTTAATTCAGACCAACTTTCTTCTGTATTATAATATCAAACTGCTAACTTTCCATTTTCTTCTGTTGCACATTAATAAAACCTACTCTTTAAAATTATTAATTCTTTCATGGAACTGATATACCTTCTTTAATTTAGCTCCACTAATGACTGTAGGCAATAGAACTTTGTCAACATCTTTCCCTGGCTTTAATTACAGTTCAGCATCAGTCTGTAGAGAAACAGACAAAGACTCCAAGCAAAAAATTTCATAGATACCAGGCTGTGAGTCGTATGGACTGACAGGACACTGACTCATCCAGAGCCTTTAGGCAGAACTTTTCAAACCTTCTTCCTTTAGGGACCAAAGCTCCCAGTCTCTAAACACTACCTTTGTTACAACACAGATGGTCAAATTAGAACAAAGCAACACCCAACAAAGTTCTCATCTACCAGGCACAACAGGTAGGAGTCAGTTTATAAAGACACACTGAGAAAAGGTTAGAACTTCAAATCTTTTAATCTTTTTCTCCCAGACATATTTCCCAGGCCAGCAAATTTTAAAGACCAATTTCCTTGTGAAAACACCACCAAGCCTTCTCTTCCTCCCCTTTGAGACTTACCAGGGCCTGATCTCAGCTGCCAAGAGGTGCTGCACCCATCAGAAAGCTCTGGGCTACACCAGCTTGCTGCCTCTCTCCCACCACCTCTGCCCTGAGCAAGCTCAGCTGTGCTCAGGAAAAGCATAATCTCTCCCCTCTTTTAAAGGGGTCTTGCTAAGCATCACAGATAAGATAAAGAAAGCCATGATCTTCTTCCAGGTTGCCCAGGTAATAGGACATATATCCTATTTGTGCAGCAAGAATACATGAGTGGAGGTAGCACTTCAGAAAAAGGTTTATCCCTATAGTTTCTGGGGATGTAGGCATGAGAACCTCATGCCCCTGTAGGTTTTCCTGCTGCAGCCTCTGTCCTCTTTTCTATGTAGATACTCAGCTGTTACATCTACAGAAGGATAAGGAGAAACAGTATTCCCCTCAGTCAGCTTTTCCCTGAAATTAGGCTATTCCATCTCTCTTTGAAGGGGAGCTAATCCTGCTTCTCAAATCAGCTTATTGCCCTGTTCTCATCCCTCTTCAAAGGCATCCACCTCAAAACAAACATTTTTTCTCATAAAAGAGAAATACTAAAACTGCTAAATGGTCTTTTTCCATCCCCGTGGTACAGAAGATAAAGAGTCTTTAAAGTGTAAACAGAAGCACCTCCCTTACTTTAAGATGTTCTGTTTATGCAACACCAGGAGACACATTTATTGCAGGTGAACATCATCTCTTTCTAGCCTTTGATAGATTGTCTCAGGCTTGATTGACCATGTATAGAGAAAGGAAAAACCTTTTACACAACTGAAATCTGACTCATTCACCTTTGACGATTGGCATGAAGTTATTTGCACAGTGTTTTCTGGAACTGATGACTTGCAAAGGGATCTATTTCATCACAGACAGCTGGAAAAGGGGCTGGGAGAAGAAAGGAGTACAGCAGACTCGGAGTATGATGCAACACAATTTAATGAGGCTGAGGAATGGAAGGAAGCAACGTAAAGTGTAAGGAATACATTTCCATGGTCCACTAAGGACAGTACCCACTCATCCCTCTCACAATGACACACTCAGCAAAATGAGATCTTCCTTCTTCATTGTTTAAGCAGACTGTTCTAACTCAGTCATGCAGAACAATTTCTAATAATTACATATTTCACCTAGTCATTGTCAAATACAAAAAAAAAGGCATAAAAGAACAAGACATTTGATCAGAAATACGAAGTAAAGCATAACAAAAGTAAGACAAGCAAAGGCCTGATTTTAGGAGATGCCAAGCTCCCACAGCTCCCTTAACTTCAGGTTGTGGGTGTCTAACATCGCATCTGAAAACCATGGCCATGAGCTCAGTCCTGCATCGGGTCGTGCTTCAGCATTCCTGGTCATTCCTTCCTGATTGCTCCTCACGCCTTAGCACGGCCCATAGAAGCCACTGCGGTAGGGGTTGTAGCGACGGTAGGGCCCGGCGGGGGGGCCCGGCTGTACCCACTGGCCAGGCCTGGATAGCCAAAGCTCCCAAATCCCAAGGAGCTGCCAGAGGAGATGGGGACCCCTCCAGCACTGAGAACGCTCCCGACAGCTGCAGATGCTGAGGATCCCACAGCGGTGTTCTGTGGGAAGGAGCTGAGGATGGGTCCGGGCAGGGTCACCACCACGGGAGAGGGCTGGATCACCACTGTCGAGTCCTGGCACTGCCTGACACAGGGCTCGTTGCAGCTGTTGGCCAGTGGGGTTGGGCCGCAGGTGGTGGGAGGACACAGGTCATAGCAGGACATGTCTGTGGGGTCGATGTAAACCTGAAACACACAAAAAAAGAAACGCAATACAAGGATTTAAATAAAACTCTATTTGTACAGATGAAATTCTCTAAGAGAACAACAAACTAACAAAGATTCCATGGGGAGCAAACTACATTTTTCACCAGATCCAGAGGAAGTACTTTAAAAACAGGGTCAAACTTGCATTTTCTTTAAGGTGACTGCCAGGGAAGATAGCACTGGTTCATCTCAGTCGGGAGCTTACCCTGAAGCCCCCATTTTGAGTCAACTTATCCAGGAACCAGGGTACATGCTGGTGCTGAAAACCTTTGTTCACATCACAGAGAGTGCCCTAATTACATGGCCATGACACTACCCTGGGAAAAGGCGCTTTCAACACTTCCCCTTGCAGTTGTGGCTGCACACAGGAAAACTGTTAGGGCTCTGTGTGTCCTAGGGAAATGGAGATTGGCTCTGTAGCCTTCAGATGAAGGTGTTCTTCTGGACCAGGTACAACTCAGCTTATTGCTCCTGATCCAAGGCTTGCCTCTTTGCTAAGCGGTCAGTGATGACCAATATCCTACCTAATGTTAATACAGCAAATAACCTTTCCCATTTCATTCCTATATCTTCCTCTCATGCACGTTCCATCTTGGAGTTCCCTTCTCCCAGTTCTAGAAAGTGGAAAATAGGAGCTTAATCACTTAAAATTTGCTCAATAAGAAATGGAAGGACAGGCACGTGAATTCAGGAACATTTCTATGTTTGTGTATTTGTATTAATATTAAATCATCATCAGATCTCAGAAGCTACACTGCAAAGCTGTCCACAATTGTTTGGAGGATGGAGAAGCAACTGGTTAAAGGTCACTCCTTGCCTGCTGAAGAGCTACAAATTGAGTTTCAAAGGCAGGCACGGACTGATGGTTGCTTTCTACATGGAGAGCTGGTGGCCCAGGACTGCCAGTATTGGCTAGCATCCCCGTGTTCTTTCAATTTTCTGGCTTTAGCTGAATTTTCCACAGCTGAGTTTTCCACAGTAGCACACTACAATGAGCAGAACCAAGAATTCACTACAGTTACTCTATGTTCAGCTGCGGGACCTGAAAACTTATTTGGATCCAAAATTGAAGAAATAGACCCAGCTGGCTAACTTGTGGCTAATTGCCCCATTCGATGATTTGTATAACTGACCACCAACAGAAAACTTCTTCTTTCATATGAAAACCCCTTCCTTCCTCAGAGAAAGAAATCTGAATGTACTACAACATTAGTGAGGAAAAGCTACAAAATCACCGAGTACACAGTTCAACATATAAAGAGTGAATAAATGGGTTCAGACTCACCTTTTTCACCAAGGCAAAGAAGGCAAGAGAAATGGATGGAAGAGCCTTGAGTTGCTCAGGTTTTTATACTGAGTCCCAAGTTGCCCAACAACTTGGGACATTCTTTATGCATGAAGTTATTTATGAGCCACTACTGATTACACATTTTTTTGCCTCAGTATTTGTGTTTATTACTGCTTCACTTCCTTATCTTGTGGTATGTATATCTGACCACAAGTTTCTTTCATCTTAAAATATTCTGGGCCAAGTTAATTTCTGGGAACACTAGAATGATTAATTCAGAAGAATTTATTCTGCCTTCAAAATCCTTTTGGATCTGCCTGGTGTCATTAAAGGAGATTAAGCATAATTTGCATAATGCAGTCCCTGGTACCCTCCCATGCAAGGTAAACACTGCTGGAAATCATGAAGAATTTCAGCTTTTGGAAGTCAACCCATGAGCACTTGTAGTCTGGGGATTCAAGCTGCTTTTAGGGAGAACAGAAGAGACTCTGATTTTTCCCCCCCCCCCCAAAAAAATGGCCAGGAATACACACACAACTTTTACCCAACTCCAGCCCCAAAATGAGAGAGGAGCAACAAATAGTGTTAAAAGTTAAGGACACTGAAGAACCCTGTGAGAGGAGCTGAAAAGTGTTAAGGCTGTGTACAAAGGCTGAGATATAGCTATAAAAACAATTAAGATACTGCTTATTTGATAGGGAAGAAGAAACCAAAAAGAGTATGAGAAGTCCAGACTATTGATATTATTGAGATAATATCAAATGATAACGCTTCTGTGGAAGAGTCTGCAGCACAATCTTATTAACACAGGATCTTTCCTGTCTGTCTCTAATTTTGGGCCTGATCTCTTAGGAGTTCTTTATCTAAAGAATCCACAAATCCACTTTTATTCTTATCTCAGAGCTCAAAACATCAGCAACTGTTTTTAGGTTAACTTCCACGTGCATGAATATGTCGCATTGCCTGGTGACGTTTGCTCTCAAGGAAGAGCTCTGCAAAAAGATGAAGACTTTGCAAAACTCATCTGTGGAGGCAGAAGTCGTCACATACAAGAATTCTTCCTTTCCTACCACAGCGTTCATTTCTCCAACTGTCCGTGCAGTGTCTGGTACAGATGTTCTATAGACCAACGGTTGCCAGTTGGAGAAGTGTCAAAAATACAAAACGTGTCGATAATTTTTTCACTTGCAGTCATTTTTTCTGTCACTTTATAACAGTCTTTGGATGGCACCATGAAATTGAGCCTTTTCTATAGAGGGGGTTTGCAGGATAAATAGTAAAGGGGTAAAATGCATAAGCAATCTTAGACACAGAGATTAGTGCTGAGGTTTGTGCTCTCTTAGCACTTTGACTACTGAGACATGTAAATCATCTCTAAATGAGGAGTGTCTTTGTGAAGATCCCCTGGGAACAGAAACTTGTTTGGCTTGGCCATAGGTTCGTGAGAACTTCAAAGTTTATCAGAAGCTTTTATTAAAGTGCTGGGCATGCAAAGTATATTATGTGCAAATTTAAGATATGTGACCCATATTTGAATTCTCGTATCACTTCTGTAATAATATAGTATTAAGATTTGGGAGTGCAGGTCAGTTGTTGGGTTCTAAAATTTATGCCATTGTTCCTGGCTGCAGGAATTACAGCTGGTTTATTTTTAATTAGAAAAATAGCTCAGAGTTTGGTTTAAGCCGACTCATATTTCAAGGAGATTCTCCAATAAACTGCCCTAACTTTTTTTAGCTTCACCAACCCTGTCCATTCCTCAGTACTTTTCCACATTCTGAGGGATTAGCAGGCTTTTTCAAAAATTATTTCCTCTATAGCAGCTGGTATCTAGCAGCTATTTGAGGAACTAATTTGCATAACAGTATCCATAAATTATTTTTACCAATTTATTTTATTCTTCCTTCATCTGAGCTCTGCTTGGAAAACACAAGATGTTTTTAAAAGCAGATTTTAGTTAAAAAAAAAAAAAAAAAGGAACTAGCAACGTTTTCAGAGATGTCTACAGCCTTCCTTGAAAATAGCTACAATAATTATTGTTCTAACACTAACCAATTTATTGTACAGTCAGAATGACTTAATGATTTGATCTTTGAGATGAATTAAAGTGAAATTAAAGTGAGTGAATCAGAAGTTCACAGCTGCATTTTTTTTGTATAATCAAGGGCAGACATAAACATTCGGATTATAATTAAAAGGTTTTGCATAATGTGAGAACATCTTTCTGAGACACCTATGAGTGACTAAATGCCTGAAAAAAATTCTTAATCAAAATAGAACTGGAAGCTTACTCACAGTAATCCCCATATAATGGCTCCAGACATAACTGTGACCCCAAAATCTGTGCATGGAGAAACACACACAGAAAATGGAAGTTCCCTGGCAAGACAAGTGCCATCTGCAATAAATTTAGAGTTATAATTAATTAGCTCATTATAAAAAACCAAATGTCTCAGAGGCTTTGAGTGGTTGAAGAAAACTGTAAAAGCTCTTGCAACTCAGAACCCTTCTGTACCATTCCCTTCTCTCACTGTTCACAACAGCTCTGAGACTCCTTCCTTTTATCTCAGACCTCATTCTTAGCTAATTGTGTTAATAGGGATGCTTGTTGGCAGCATTAGCAGCAGCCATTTGAATTTCACACAATAATCTGAGGCACCTGGATCCAGGGCACTGGGAGGGAACTCTGCTAATGCCCTCACAGTATCACCAATTTCTGGTTTATTGCTCGAAACAAAGGATGTATCTATAGCTTATTTATTTAGCTCAGTCAGACTGGATGCCTCTGCATGGCATCGCTGTTTCTGTTGCAACCCACCACTCATTATTTGCTGTAGTTTGTTGTTTGGCCCAGGCAGCAGAATAGTACATGCTGTATGTGTAATATGTATAATCTGAGTTGCCTTTTGGTGTAGGCAGAGCCTGTGACTTGAGCTTCACATCTGCATCTTCTGCTGCTCAAATAGCTCCCCTGAAGGCAAAGGTGTGCAAATATAGGGAGATGTGTAGTCCTCAAAGTTCATACTTTAACATAGCTCTTTTCACTGATAGTGTTATTCAAATGCTGTTATGAAGAACTTTAAAATGACTAAAGTTTGAGGTTTGGTTTGGCATCTTACTGTGGTCTAATCAAGTCAAAGAGATTATGTTACAATTTCCCTTTTTGTCAAAAAAATAGTGTAACTAACTGCTGCGTACAGATCTGCGGAGTATTTCTGCAAAGAGACAGGTGTAGTGTGGTCGTTATGCTGGAAACCAGCAGGGAATGGTAGAAGAAAACAACAACAAAAATTAATTTACGTTGGAGGGAAGAAATTATTTACTCACCAGAACGTTTGCAAAATACACATCCAAAATGGATGGGCTTCAGTTATTTCTCAAATATGTTTGAATAATTTTTCAAATGCAGGTTTTTAATTCTATTTGAAATCATAAGAGTGCAATTAGTATTTTTCTACCCATGGCCCTCCATGTCAAATCCACCTTCATTACAGAATGATGCCTTGGTGCCACCAAGACTGACGAGTAATCCGTCACCTGAGAGCAAGGGATTGCCTATAATCATTGGTACCAACCCTTTTCACAAGGCATTGTTTCTTTCTGCCAGGGGTTACGTGAGATACCACACATCTGCATTTTGCCACAACTATGTGCCAGGTCTCTGATTCTACATTTCCACCCATTAGTTGTTTAGGAAGGAAAAGATCACAGTCAACTTGTTTGGAGCTGGAGACCCAGGACTAACATACATTCATTTAAAACCTTTCCATCCCAGTACAAAGAGAAGGGTTTTCATACTCAAACTTTGGAATTATAGACTTTTGCATGGGGTGAAAATTCAGCCTGTCATTTAACTCCACGGACGTCTGCAACCACTGGGCATACACAAGCACCTCTGCCAAACCCAACGATTTCAGCACCGGCCCATGAAGATCCTCGCAGAGGCACCAGGAGCTCAGTTGCCAACATGAGTTACAAGTCTACGTTTAAGGAGCCTTAAATAGGTTGGCATTAATTACAAAAAAAATACACAATATAATTTGCAGGGGGAGCAAGTCTCCTCTTAGAGCGTTCCCCTCAAACTCTCTATGATCTTTTCTCTTTGGAGTCCACTTTAGTCAAACCACGGCCATGAGAAACGCTTTTTGATGAACAAGATGAATCTGATAACAAGCAATTTTAAGTGCATCGTCTTACCCCTTTAAGGAAAGCCAGAGTTGAGGAAGGAAATGTAGCAAATGTGTAGTACTTGTACACAAAATATCCACCCTGCATGTAGTATCTGCTTTGCTACAATATATCTAAATTGTTTCAAAAACACAATCAGCTGCTTCTTTGTTACAAAGTACCTTATGTATACAATGTTCCCGAAGTTTCCTGGCTTTAAGGTGATTTCTTGGCATAGAGGTCATCAGCCAAATCCTTCTTTCTGCTCAGCATGAGAAAGCAGCTTTCAAATAATAAACCAGAGGAACAGTAAGAAATTTTACCAAAAAGTGAGCTGCAAAAAATTTTTCAAACAGCAGGAGACTTGGATTGTGATGCAGCATAACTTTAATGAGAGCAAAAAGCAGAATAAAAAAGTACAAAGTGTTAAGGATGTATTTCCAGGATTCAGTAGGACAACAGCTAATATGCCTTTTCATCCTGGATTTCTTTTCTCAGTGCTGCTGTGAACTGAGACAAGAAAGTCCCGTCTACAGCAATAGAAAAAAAAAAATGCGTTTCATCAGAAATATAAAGTATTCAAAGAATAAGACAAGCAAAGGCCTGATTTTAGGAGATGCCAAGCTCCCACAGCTCCATTAACTTCAGGTTGTGGGTGTCTAACATTGCATCTGAAAACCATGGCCATGAGCTCAGTCTTGCGTCAGGTCGTTTTTCAGCATTCCTGGTCATTCCTTCCCAGTTGCTCCTCACGCTTTAGCACGGCTCACCAAAGCCGCTGCGGTTGGTGCTGTAGCGACGGTAGGGCCGGCTGTACCCAC